TAAAACTCCATACATTAAATTGTTCTAAAAATTCAGAGTAAAAAGTTCGAAATTTAGACGGAAATTTATTGAATTTTTCTAAACGTTGTATTTAGCTTGAATCCTTGATTTTAAATGTTTGGGTAAAGCGCAAACAATATTCTTATAAAGTAATACCAAAAAAGTTTGGCTTGAAAAAAATGGTGAATATTAAAAAAAATTACCAAGCGTTTTTTGAGTCACTGTATTTATATATAATAACTCCAGTTGAAGTTTTTTAAAATGATGAAGTTTCGTTGTTGCTTTTAGTTTCATTACTTTCGCTTTTGGTTGAAGGAAACTGAGAAGATGCTAATAATATGATCTCTTAAATAAAGAGTACCTTAAACACAATTTTAAGTCTTATTGAATTAACTGAAAAAATAACAAAACTATAGTTTTCATTAAAAAAACTAAAAAAAAAATTTTGGTAGATATTTTCTACAATTGGTAGATTTTTTTCACGTGGATGGTAAGTTTTTTTTTTCGTCAGTGGCAACCCTGATTATATCTCTATCAGTTGCACTAGGGCTGTGCGATTAATTGATTACTCAAAATTGTAATTAATCATAAAGTAAATAACTCAGTTATTCGGTTAATTAGAAATTATGATTACTCAAAAGTTCAGTTACTCTAGTAATCAAGATTTTTGATTAACCAAAAAAAAAATATTTGAGTAATTTGCCTTATGATTAATCAACATTTCGAGTAAAATGAGTAATCAACATTTCAACTCTTTATATATGTACAAGTAGTTAAAGTTCCTTGATACTTTGAAAACAACGTTTCTGTTTTCAAAAATTAAAACGAAAATTTTTTTCATATACAGAATGTAAAAAAGAAAATAAGCATTTTCCAAAGCAAACTCTTTTATCTTCCACTGCTTGACCGCGGTACTGATATTAATTGCAAAGATGAATTTGGCAATACGCCACTTCCTTTAGCAGTAGAAAATAATCATTTCGATGCTGTACGAGCATTATTCAATCGCGGAGCCGATTGTGAAAAATAATTTAAATGTTACACCACAGAGTCTCGCTGGTTATATTGGCAAAATAGAAATCATTGAATATCTTCTAAATCGGGGTGCCACTGTTAATATAACTTGTACTATTAATGACTTAGAAGATTACTCGTTGCTGCACCTCGCTGTCGTTAGCAATAGTAATCACGGGCGCTCTTTGCTATCGAGCAACCCACACTTTTTCACAATAATACTAGTATTTTTTGTTCATTATTATTTTCAAGAATTAAGAATTATTTTTTACTTTTTAGTTTGATATGCTTTAAAAGCGTGTTTTTTTGTTTTTTTTAACTATATTTATTTTTTACTTTTTAGTTTGATATGCTTTAAAAGCGTGTTTTTTAGTTTTTTTAAACTATATTTATTTTTTTATTAAGCAATCTCATATCTGCCTGGTATATTCCAGGACGAATGGATAAGGATTGNTTTAGCAGTAGAAAATAATCATTTCGATGCTGTACGAGCATTATTCAATCGCGGAGCCGATTGTGAAAAATAATTTAAATGTTACACCACAGAGTCTCGCTGGTTATATTGGCAAAATAGAAATCATTGAATATCTTCTAAATCGGGGTGCCACTGTTAATATAACTTGTACTATTAATGACTTAGAAGATTACTCGTTGCTGCACCTCGCTGTCGTTAGCAATAGTAATCACGGGCGCTCTTTGCTATCGAGCAACCCACACTTTTTCACAATAATACTAGTATTTTTTGTTCATTATTATTTTCAAGAATTAAGAATTATTTTTTACTTTTTAGTTTGATATGCTTTAAAAGCGTGTTTTTTTGTTTTTTTTAACTATATTTATTTTTTACTTTTTAGTTTGATATGCTTTAAAAGCGTGTTTTTTAGTTTTTTTAAACTATATTTATTTTTTTATTAAGCAATCTCATATCTGCCTGGTATATTCCAGGACGAATGGATAAGGATTGAGACAAGAGCTTGTGTGAGCAAATCCAATTTTTGGCAGCCAATGTCGGTTACGCGGTTTTGCAGAATCACGATACGCGGTTTTGTACTTTAAACGACGATATACTTATGAGCAGGGAACGGATTTTTAGGAACTTAAAACCTATAAAAAGGACGAATTAAAATAACGAAATAGGTTAGAAAAGGCAAAATAAAATAGCGAAAAAGGCAGGAAAAGGCAGTAGAATTCGCAAAAAAGGCGAAAGAAGACAAAAAAAAGGCATGAAAAGACAAAAACTGAAAAATAATCAAAATATACATTTAGTTTAGAAATGTTTATTTTACAAGTATAAAAGAAAAACTATGAATTAGTTTCATTATTTGAAAAATTTCTACTTTGAATCTTGGACTATTTTTTCCTTTCCGAGTTTTTAACTCACAAAACTTTAATCACTATAGTTGTAGTACCATTGAACCACAGATTCATTTTGAAGTTTTCTGGCAGCATTTTCATTCGGTTTTTCCGAAGAAAGGCCTTAAATGTACTAAACGGGTGAAATTTAGATATCTTAATAAAATCAAGTTATTGTGCCATTTTATAAGTTATTGAGATCAGTATTCAATAAAAAACGTTAACATAAAATCTCTTACTTCCAGATGAAAGCTTTGACTTCAAACACGATCGTCCATTTTTGCTTTCAATGGCAAATCGTGGTAAAAACACAAATGGGTCGCAATTCTTCATGTAAGTTTCATCCAAAATAAGTAATAATTTCTTAAAAAAATTGTAGCTTTTAGTATTAACACTTAACATCTTTTTGCAGCATCACAATTAAACGATAATTTTTGTTTACAGATATATCTATATTGATTTGTTATTGTTATTATTATTGATTTGTCATCATCTAGCTAGCCACTAATCCTAGGTCATCACAAAGTAGGGAGTAAAAGAATCAAACGCTGTTTTGAGCACTGTTGATGACAAATTTAGTGAACAGCTGTCGGCGTCCTTACACTGATATTGCAATCGTCGCGTTGGACGTTGCCATAGTATGTGGTTGCTTTCTTGGTAGCCGCGCCGCATCAGCTGGAGAGGTTTAGAGATGTCATGTCACCCTAAACTACTATGTAACTTTGTGTGGGGAGTGAGGGCAATAGTAGGAAGCGAGACAGCAGCAGGAATTTCCAACTACGTCCTACGTAGACAAATTCAATTGCTTTGTTGCACCAAATCAAAACCAAATGAAATCGAACTCAATGTGTACACTGTGTAAAGCATATTTTTCTTCTTCTGTTTTTCATTGTAGTACTACACAACCCGCGCCTCACTTGGACAAGTAAGTTTCTGCGTTGCCTAATAAATAGCATTTAGTTATACCAATTTATTTTTTATTTTTAGCGTCCACGTGGTATTCGGTGAAGTAATATCCGGACAAGACTTAGCACGCCAGTTGGAGGAATTGCCGGTGGATAGAAATTCGCGCCCTTTGCAGGATGTCACCATATCAAATTGCGGAGAACTCGTCCGTCAGGTTAAAGGTAGCAAGATCTACATATTTATCTATCTTCAAATAAAGATGTATGTAATATATGTCAAAAATTTTTAGTTAAAAAGGATAAAAAGAAAAAGAAGCGCTCTGAAGCTTCTGCTGAAGAAAACTCCGATGCCACCTCTGTAACAGAAAAACGTTCCAAACGTAAGGAGAAAAAGAAGAAAAAGGATCGCAAGCGTGAAAAATCACATGACCGGTTCGAAAATATTTTTCTGGATTTAGTGGATTTTAAATAACTGAAAATTTTATTATTTAAAGAACGGAGTCGGAAAATAGCCAGACAGAGGAGAAAGTAAATGAAGATGACGACGAGGGAGAGTTGCATCCACTTGTATCCCTAACTAAAATCGATCCTAATGAAATACCAGAAGTAAGTCTAAAATCGTACCTGTGTACATAAATAGATGTAAATACCTACAAAACAGAATATCATTCAACTTTAGAGCTCTTCATCTAACCGCGTAAACGCCTCGTACGCACGTAAACCTCGAAAACTTGCTTAATTTTATATGAAAAATCGGTTTATTTATGAGGTTTATACAGTTACGAGGCATTTATGAGTTTTGATGAATACCCTCTTTGTTGTGTTTATTTTCAAACAAGAAAACGTTAGCTTGCAAAAAAAACTACAAGATCAAAACAGAATAAAGTCTTCAAAATACTATTTAATCAGATTCTAAATCTTTTTGAGGTATTATCTATACTATATATCATTTAATAATAAATGCATTATCCATGTGCAAATTCTTTTCATTTTATATGCTGTATTTTTTAATAATGCTCCTATTCAATAGGTCTCGAATAAATTTTTGCTACGAGGTGACCGTTCAAACCGGTCTCAAGAGCGTGAACACAGGCGCGACTCACGCAACGAAAGATCAAGTGAGGGCAGACCCACATTTGGTTGGTCAAAAAAACGGGTACCGGTCTCTCGTAGTGGACGCATTATCAAAGGCCGTGGAGTTTTCGTAAGTTAATGAGTTCAAAATCATATACCTAACTAAGCATATAAAAAATCTTTTTTTCTTAAGCGTTTTCGTACGCCGTCTCGCAGTCGTTCACGTAGCACGACTCCACCGCATTGGAAACGTGCCCAGAATCGCACTATTAAACTGTCAGATTTGGAGCGTCTGGAAGAGGAGAAGAAGTTACGCGACGAAGAAATCAAACGTCGTGAGGTTGAGCGCAAAAAGCGTCACGAAGAAATGAGGCGAGATCCGAAAAAGTCGTTCTTCGAGTTGTCAAATGCAAGTTCATATGGTGGTAGGTATAGTGAGTCGCCTGACCGTAAAAATCGAGGCAAGGACAATTCCAGTAATGCACGTAAAGATAAGTATGATGACAGACGTTCGGACAAGGACAAGACTCGTGAAAGGGGAGAACGAGAAAAAGAAAAAGAAAGTGACAGGGAAAAAGATAAAGACCGCCGTAGGGAACATAGCGCCGAAGCGAAACCATTACCTAAACGCAAAAAGTCAATGGATATGAATGCTCTGGACTACGAACATCAACCAGAAAGCGAAAATGAAGGAGACTCCACTGAGAAAGAATCCACTTCGAAGTTGAAGGAAGGAAATTCAAAACAAGACCGTCATACTTCTCATGAAACCGAAAAAGATCGGAAGAGGGACGAGCGGGATAAGAATAAAGCTAAAGAAAAGGATAAGGAGAAGGCACAAGAAAAGTCTAAAGAGCATGGAAAGGAAAGGAATACGGGCAAACATGATGACATTGGTAGAGATGACGAGAAAGGAAAAGATGATCGCGATAAGGAAAAAACAAAATCCAAATTCGATGTAAAACAGAGGGAAAAGGATAAAGAAAAAGATCGGAATCGTTCAGGAAGTCGTTCGCGGTCTAAGCAACGCTCACGTTCGCATTCGCGTTCGCGTACATCGCGTTCACGTTCCCGTTCATTTCGACGCCGCTCGCCAATCCGAGATCGTCGCGATAGATTTCCGATGCGTAGAGGTGGCTTTCGTTCACCACCAAGGCGCGATTTTCGCGATTTCCGCGGCAGACGTGGCGGCAATCCGTTTATGGATCGTCGACGTCGTTCTGTGGAGCGTTATCGTAATCGCTTGCCGCTATCACCGATTCGCACTCGCCGCGCGACGCCGTCACGTGATAGACGGTCACGGGATCGTTCAGTATCGCGAAGTCGTTCTCGTTCGCCACGTCGCGAACGCATAGGTAAACGTACAGGCGACTCTCGAGACCGCAGCCGCGACCAGCGAACGCGTTCTAAGTCTCGCGACCGACGCGCAAAGTCAAAGTCACGGGAGCCAGGCACACGGACGCTTGAACCACACACCAGATCCAAATCGCGCTCACCCGTTCGACAAAAGCGAAACAGACGTTCCGGCACACGTTCACCAAGGCGTTCTAGATCTGCAAATAACAGTCGAAAATCGAATGACCAACGTTCGGCATCAAAGAAGGAGAGTACTTCAGAGACGAAGACTGGTTCCAGTAGCAATGCCATCGAAGATACCGATAAAATGCGTGAAAAGATGTTAAAACGTGCTGAGGCTGCGCAAATGCTGAAGGACCATATGCGTAAAGAAATAGCGAGGGAGGAAGAAAGACGTGCGGAGAAACAGCGACTGGATGACTTAGAAAAGGAAAAAACGGCTCGAGAACTTGAAGAATTGGAACGTCTTAAGCAGGAGACACTGCAAAAGCTAGAAGAGCATGAAAATCTTAAAAAGCTTACAGTTATAGCTGCCGTAGCCGAAGCAATCAGCTCTAAAGATCATGGAAAAGAAGAAAAATCGAAGGAAAAGAAAAAGAAACGCAAGAAGTCGAAGAAACGTTCACGTACCTCTGGCACTGAGTCCAACTGAGATTTGAATAAATTGATGTCTACATGTACGTAGCAACAATGCATATTTACTCGTAAACTGAAATTATTGGATATTGGATGTACGTTTGTATGTATAAATTTAGTTTATTTTACATGCATATTTATGCATGTACATTAAAAGGATCTTGTACACTTTCGCGTGTATGCAACAATTTGAAGTCATATAAGCATTGAATGGTGTAAACTAAATACATATATTTCATTCTCCCATTTTTTTGAATGCTTAATATAATTGAAATATTTTAGCCAAAACACAATTACAAATGTTTTATTCATTAATGGTTGTTTAAGGAGATTATAATTATTAGGAGGGGATACGGAAAACATATTCATACATATGTACATATCTGGTATGTCTAATATGCACACATTGGCACATACGCACTCAGCCCATGATTAGTAATATACAGAATTATTTCAAAATTTAAAATTTTGTAGGAAAACGCAATCAAAGTTTGTTCAATTCATTTAGTTGGTATACCAAAAGGCAGATGGAAAGACACTTATCTTCGATATTTTATTTTGCTATTCTCCTTATCAAGCTTTTCAGTTGCATGATGAAATCTCCAAAATTTTAAATTTAGAAATACATCTCCATATTATTAAACGCATATGTATTCATACATATATTTTATTTAACTAACTATGGCAACACCAACTCAGAGGAAATTTATGCATATTTAAATGAAGCCTAGTTTTTGTATTCGGCTAGTTTTTTATACACGAACAACATCACGTTAGTCTCCATATCTGAGATTTGTGCCTCAGTCAGCGATGCTTGCTTTATTTTACGGTCTAGTAGCTTAAACATCAACGTTGTGCTGTCGTCCTCTGTCTTTAAGCTACACATGTTTGAATAAGACGGGATAGTGGTTTCTATGAACTTTGGAAACATTGTTTCTGTATTCCTAGCTTCTGCTTCTTCCGATTCGAAATCTTGAATTGATTCTTCTTCCATTATTTCATTTCCGATAGTTGCTTCGTCGATCTTTGAAACACCCTCTAATTTAGTTTCAACATCTTCTTGCATCGATTGTGCTGGCGCTGGTGAATCAGCGTAATCACTTTCATTATAGCCGGTATCCTCCTGATTTTGAAGGCTCCTGAAATTATAAACCAAATTATTTTCGAACTCATAAAACTAGAAACATAACGAAGAAAGCGACTCGTATTTCATTACAGTTTTTGGTTAAAGAAGGGTGATAAAAATTCCATTTGATTCATATAACGCCACACTTTTCGCTTCCCGTCTCCAGAAATTTCCTTCGGATACTGCACATCGCGCTTTTTGCATCTATTAAAACAATCACGTAAATGTTTCCATTTTTTCTTACATTCTTCCACTGCAAATGGAAGACAAAAGTTAAGAGTTTAATTAAAAAAATATATGCACAGAATCCCCCGGTTAACTTTACGATTCTTTTATTTAACATCCGAATGGCCAATTAACCGCGGAAACACTGTACTTTGTAAGTATGGTACATACAGTGCGTTTCAAAATAAAGTATTGCTATGAAAACTCACAAAAGAGGATATACCTATTAATGAATGGTATATTTTGTCCAGTTCCCATTGTTGTCAATAATAGGTTGGCATCTTCGGGTACAACTTTTGCTTGATTCCTGACCGTTACGTTTCCACTTCATTTTCCAGTTTCCATGCCATGCGGAGCCGTGCGGCTTCAGCGTTTCAGATCGTTGTTGTCTTTTAAAATCCACCTAATATTTTGCGATCCATACAACATTTTAGCAGATTTCAATAAAGCTCTTTGGCACTGTTTGACCATCATAAAGGCAATCAGTTTACCGGATCCTCTTAATAAGAACATCGACATTTATAGAGTGTTTTACTGTACGTTGCAGTATCCTCACCTTTTGTTTAGACTAAGTTGAAAACTACAAACGACTGATCTGAGAAGACCACGTTACCCTAACATCGCTCCAAATTTTTCCTAGCCCATTTTTAACAGATTTCCACGCGTTTTTTTTTACCTAAAAACGGCTTGGAGATGGTACTGCTATAATGGAATTGTTGTTTGAATCCAGAAGTCTGCGTAGAATAGCAGCCGTTCTCACTTTAATTCGCTTTCGCTATAATTTTTCTCGTGCTCGCTGTATGCTAATCGTAGGAGTACTATCAAACCATGGTGAAATGAACTGGAGGTGGCGCATTCCCGAAACCGCTACTTTCTATCGTTCTTGCTATCAAACAGCTCAACTATGTTGGTTTTTTAGCAACATAAAAATTTCGCACCAAGTTTTTGAGGAATAAGCTGGTGTCTTAGTCCTTTGCCAGATTTATATACTCCACACTTCAAATCATTTAACCCACTTCCCAACAAATTATACTAATGTGTTTGTATATTTTGCGACTTTAGCGGATGTCAAAACGCTTTTTAAAACCTTAACTAAATTTTTTATGTTGACATTTACGAGACACTTCCATGCTACAAATAATTTGATGTTCTTGTATACTTTATTTTGAAAAGCACTGTACGTATGTATATATATTAATGCAGTTATGCCATTCCTACCATTTGTTCCGCACTTCTGGGCGACCCTTTGCCATAGTTTATCTTTAAAAGCAACATCCTTGTAGCTTAGCGCTTGCATATTGTATAGACATTCATATTTCTTTACCTCGGCGATTAATCTTCTTTCAAAATTCATATTTTTTAAAGAATTCTTAACTTACAAACACAATTAAAGCGACTGGCGACTAGCGACAAGATTTAATGAAATAATTGACTTGACAGCTGGCGTATGACCATATGCGCTACCTACAATGACAGATGTCAGCGTGTTGGGTTGCCAGATTACATACATATATGAAAACTATACTCGTGGTCTACACTTGGCATTTTTTATATCAAGTTAAACAACTCTGTTAAAGCTGGTACATTAATCAACGATTTTCTTGCTGGTGTTATTTGTTGAAGCCTGCTAGATAAGTCATTCTATTAACCCTTTCATGTCCGATGTTGCTTATAGCAAATGGTGCTAACTAGAGTCCGACCGATTAATCGGCATCGGCATCGGCCTCGGCCGTTTTTGGCCGATTCTTAGCCAATTCTTTTTACTTTTTTCGCACTTCATTCCGTGTTATTTTTTTTTACCTTTTAAATTCCTTTAAATCTTCAAATATTTATGCATCTGAGTCCTCATGTCATAAATGTGTTCTCATGTTTCGTTTTTAACCGACTTTCAAAAAAGGAGGAGGTTATCAGTTCGGAATATTTTTTTTTATGTATGTTACCGCATAATACTGGACCACGTCAACCGATTTCGATAATTCTTTTTGCATCGGAAAGGTAGTGTCTCAGAGGTGGCCCCATACTAATCTGGTTTAGATCCGATCATTGAGTCAAGAAATATATATATATATATATACATATTTTTTTTAAAGTCGTTTTTTTTGCTAAAAATTGGGAAGACACGTTTCAGCAAGTTTTTGCAATTTTTTTTGCTTAAAAAATGTTATTATTTATTTATTTTTTATTTTTTTTTAATATAGCTTGCTATCTAAACCCTGTAAATCAAAATTTCAAACTTTGCAGAACATTTATAAAAATTCGACGAATTTTAACAAATGTTCATCAGAGTTTGAAACTGTCTAATCAGCTTTGATATAACTTTTTTGAGTATGCAGTTTTTTTTTTAATTTTAGTATAATAAAGGCCTAATCGTTGATTTTGGACAATTTTTTGTTAGCAACACCGAATGTTTATAAAAAAATTACATTCTGCTGATATACATACATATTGTGAGGGCAACGTGTTATAGATACATACATATGTACATATATTAGTGTGTACCTTACATATTTATTTGTATGGAGACATTTTTTTTTACAAGCTTCAATTTTACATAAAATAGGAAAAAGCCTATAAGCCTATAATTCAGTAAAAAGGAGCTTATTTGCTTCGTACATACATATGTAGCCACGATACAAAGAAGAAGGTAGTTTCAGTGAACAATTTTTTGATTAAAAAGGAGATTTTTGACAGTTACTCAACTGTAAAAAATTTGAAGCGGCGTTACACATATTAAGTGTTTTGGTGGAGAGGATTTTATATCATAAATTTGTGAGTATAAATAAAATAGTTAAATTAACATTTACCTTTAAAAATGATTAATATCCAATCTTAAAAACGTTTACATTAAAATCGATAACTGCTCGCCAAAATCTTTTCTTAAATAAAATTTTAGTGAACATAATTTACAATTTTTTAGTGTCATTATGTCACCTGAATATTTCACAATGTAGCTACCCTGCAGGGAAAGCTACTGGTTGTGAACTAGAATTATACCAGTTTGCGTTTCAGCCCAACTAGTTCACGTTCTATCCTTTTTCAATGTTAGCGACTGGTATTTTTAACATTGCGATGTCCTACGAGATGTCAATTGTCAGGCTATGCATCAGCATCTACTAGTAGAAATACTAGTAGCATCATACCAGTTGATGAGATAGTCTGCCAATTCATCCCCTATGAAAAGCATTAGTATGCCTTTTTGCTCGCGGCGCTCCAACAGTCGCAATGGCCGACAGAGCAAAGCACTCGCGTGGTATGCCTGAGGTACCAGGTTCAAGCCCTGGTGCAGGGAAAATTTTAATTTTTTAATTTTTTTTATAATATTTCTTTTATTTATATTTTATTTTATATCAAATCTAAGAATAACAAAAAGGCCCTATTGTAATTCTTAGATTTAATAAAAAATTTTTTTTTTTTAATCTATTATTTTATGGCAAAAGTATTTCTTCCCATATATTTGTTTCTTTTTTTTTTGTAATGCAACTAGATTTTTAAGTTTGTTATTTATATTTAAATTGAAATAATTATTCCTACTTACATTGATCTAACTTTAAAAATCTTAACCACCTCCAAGCGGCCTCGAACCTGCGATCCCAGAACCAGAACCAGTAGTCTTCACGTGACGCCACAGCCGACATTTGTAAGAAAGGCAATTAATTGCGTTTTATTTTAGGCTTTGGCAATTCAAAGGCAGATGTCGCTGAACGCTTAAGTTCTTCGAAAATGTCGAACTGTTAGGCACATACTAGTTTATGAACTAGTATTTTTTCTAACTGGTTTGGGGTTTCACTGCAGGGTAGCGACTGTTACAGTTTTCTATGTCGGATACAATTGTTTCTGATATAATTCAGACACTGAAATTACACATTTCGATATTGTCTTTGTCCATGTCTTTCAAGTAACTTGAAAACGGACCCATTGACCTCATGACTTTCAGAGAAGTGGGTATTATCCAATTCTAGTATATTTCGACAATATCGTGAATATATTTTACCGCTCAATATTGCAGGGGGTGTGAAACAACATTGATGATTTATTGTTAGTATGAAAACTAGAAACACAATTATCATCTTATTGAGCATTAGACTGTTTCTCTTTCAAAAACAAAAGGGGAAATGTTCGGTTATCCATGCAACGGTTTGGGGGAGCGGATACGGAAATAGAGTAAAATTAGCATTTTGACAGAGAAAATGTAAATCCAACTCCCGCTACGCTGACCACAGTATTTTTTACAAAAAGGTCCATATTTCAAACCGAATTAATTCATAAATTTGTATCTGAAAATTTTAAATCTTTATTTTAAACTAACGTTTAATTGTTTGACCACGCGTGTGTGCTAAAATTTTTTGCTTTGGGTTAAGCCTTTGGACACAATGGGGCGTATTCGTAAAAACCAAGCAAATGCTTTTTCTTCAAATTTCAGACCTTGTACTCAATTTGTTCAAATAAATTTAAGTGAAAGATATATTTTAAGAAAAAGAAAGTGCTCAGTTTTTATGCATACGGCCAGTGATCGGACTGCAAAAAAATTCTCTGTGGTAGAATCTGAAAAAAAGGTGATAAGTTTCAAAAAAATGTGGTAGGTCTCTGGATTTGGATCAAACTTTGTACAAAAATTAAAAAAATTCTGCAAGGTTTCACCTAAATTGCAAACTTTTTAATAAGACTCTAAAACAAATTTAATTTTAGCATAATAAAGTGCAAGATTGAAGTCGCTAATAATTGCGTTGCGTTTTGGCAATTTTTTCCTTGACAGCGTAAAGCAGTGCCTTCCATATCAAGATATTTTTCGAACATATTTTAAGAGATTTCTGCAACCTTGCGGGGTGCTGCCAGATTTTCTTTTTATCACATCACGAAGTAGCGAATAAATGTGGCACGTTCCAGATATAGCTAATTGGGATTTGCCGATTTTGACAATTCTCAAGAAAAAGTCAACAACGTCTCAGAAACTTTAGATGCACTTAAATTTGCTAATACTTTCGCAAAAATTGCCGTTTTTTAACATTTTCGCTATTAATTTTTTTTATGAATCATATGTATTGCAATTTAACACAATAAAACCACGTTTCCTATCGAAAAATTTATTACTGAGAAATTTACTATTTTACAGTTTATTTTATCCTGCCATTCGGCTTTGTTTACTTTTACTTGAGAAATTTCATCGTCGCCGAGAATGTGGAATCTTGTATTATATCATTCTTGTTACCATATAGTGTTTAGTGTTGGACAATTTTTGCTCTTAAAATTAAGAAAATTATGTCGAGCAAAAATAAAAATAATCAAAAACGCGTCCAGTCCGATCACTGCATACGGCCCAATAACCCAATATATATATATGTACAAGTAAAATACCTTTTGCTTGTTGAAATTTCGATTCTAAAGCTTAGTATCCAGCTCTTAAGAAAAGCAAAAACTCCATATAAAATGACGTACAAGAAATGGCTAAGAAATTTTCTTGAGTCAAATTTCCTTAAGGCAGTACGCAGTTCTTCAGAAATTTAGTACGCTTTCGGCACCCTGAAATTGTGCATATGGAAACTGTGCATACGAAATAATGCATATGAAAAAAACCGAAATAATGCATACGAAAAAAACCGAAATAATGCATATATGCACAGTTTCGGTTGAAAACCGAAATAATGCATATGAAAAAATATTTCGGTTTTCAAACGAAAGAGTGCATATGCATATTTCGGTTTTTCTATATGCATTATTTCGGTTTTCAACCGAAACTGTGCATATATGCATTATTTCGG